CGTCTTCTCGTTCCCGGAAGCATCCCATCCACCTCCCTATACCCTCGTTCCTCCACCTGATTCTGTTTCCCTAAATATCTTCATTCAGTTTTATTTTCTCCTCTAATTCACGATTGGCACATATAACTGCATTTGTGCTCTTTTTATCGCGTACATATACAGAGCTTTTACATCACTATCAGTTTTGGTACTTATCCACAAACCCCTTACTTGAACAGAAGCCCCTATCTTCGTCATTGTGGTGTTTGGTGGCCATTCCCAAACTCCAACGCCATTAGCATCCATAAATATGGACTCATCCGTAATGATCACGAAGTTAATGGTGTGCAGAAACCTAACTGAAATGCTTGAGTCGTCGGCTCGTCACTGCAATCCACCCTTAGAATTTCACCATGCAGATTCTACGATACCACCCATAATCGTGACAACACGACAGCTTTCGCATCGAGCTCATGAAAATGCCCGCTTTATTCATGGTATCCGTCATGTCACTAAGGATACTATTGTGTTTCTCCATTTCGATAATCATGAGCAAAATATTATATGGCTTTGGTCTACCATAATAGCTGGCTACTTGCCCGCTTTGTCACCGGGTTTTGTGAACGACCTGGCTCAGCGACGAAAACTTATCTTGCATCTCAAGTTGTTGTTTAAAGAACCCCTTATTCTCACATCAGATCGATTGGTTCACGAGTTTTTGGATATCGAAGGGCTTAATATCGTAATGGTAGAATGTCTCATAAGTCAACTACCAAATGGGATCAACTCTGCTCCAAGGGCAAACTCGGGTCACAAAAAGGGTCCAGAGGATGCGGCGATCCTCATGCTCACATCGGGCAGCACTGGAAACGCAAAGGCGGTGGTGTTGCGGAACAGCCAAATTAAGGCTGCGATGGCGGGGAAAATAGCTCATCATGGCACAAACCAACGAGATATTTTCCTGGCTTGGGTTGCTTTAGATCATGTTGCATCACTTTGTCAAATTCACCTGCATGCGATAGCCCTAGGTGCGCGACAAATTTTCGTTGGTAAAGAGGACGTTGCGAACAACCACATGTATTTTTTGAACCTCATCCACAGCTTTCGAGTCAGCGTGACTTTTGGGTCAAACTTTTACTTGACAGGACTTTCAAATTTTCTGGACAAAATGCAACCTCTGACAATATCACGTACAGGTTGGGATTTGTCATGCCTGAAAGTTATATTT